AAAGTCATTTGAAAAATAACAAAACTCTTACAAAAGAAACCAATGACAGTCAATTGACAGAAATGATGTGGCTGTCAAATACATAGTAGTAACAGTAATCTAAATATTTATTAAATCTACTAAAATTTTCTGCACTCTTTCTTTACACATTAACTTTCATCATCATCATTATCAACCCATGTTTTGTGCTACTCTCATCCAGCCCACTCCAGCCAGCCTACGAATATCATCATCGCATCTTGTCTCAGGGCGTCCTACACTACGTTTACCGAGTCGTGGTCTCCACTCAAGAATTCATTATCTTTAATTAAGCAAAATCTAACTCCATGATGAGTAAAAATTGCTTAATAACGTTATACGTATCTTAGAAAATTTTCCTTCGCGAATTAATAAAGATTAGCAAAAATAAATACCTACTCGCATATCCAAGTGCCAGCACCTGAACGGTTTATGAAAGTTCAAAATTTGATTTTTAGTCCAAGCTAGGCTTAATTTTTCCTTGCTAACAAACAGAAAGGACCATATTCAGTGAAGTTACTAAAATCAAAGATTTATTTGCGAATAAAACCAGGCATTCAAATATCTGCATTAGCAAACCAAATTAATGAAACGAATCCCTTATACTGCGTAGCGTATGCCATCTTGCACGAACTTGCCGGTTCATACAATGCTATAAAATCGTGTACTATAGATACTTAACTGTCGTAACTTACGAAGACCTGTGATATTTTTATTGATTTGATGATTTTTATTTGGTACTCCTAAATCCTCCTCGAAATAGGTACTATAAAAGCATAAACCGACTTTAAAAAGGAGGAAGTCCTGTATGTTTTTGATGTACGGGTATGTACCGAGGGATTCCGAGATTTACGATCCGATTTACGTGATTATTTTAGTTGCCACTTAGTCCCATAAAAAATAATTCATATAGATCCTGTAGTTTTTATTTTATGAGCATTTTTGTTAACTTGGATGATGTAATTTTCAAGATACTTTGTTTTTATGTACGCTTTACTTAAGTTTCTCATCGGATTTCATAGATTTTTTTTTTGTTTACTTGGACACTTGGACGACGTAATTTTCACTAAAGTGGATAAAATAATATTTTAAACAAAAATAATAAAACCGCCATCAATATCGAAAATGGAACTAAAATGTAAAAAAATATATATCCAGGACTTGGAAGTAGGGGCTAAGATTGAAACATGGAATAGATTTTCATTTCTAATAGGTATACTACGTGTTTCAATTATGACTCCGCCCGACTTCCAAATCAAGAACTGGATTTTATTTTTATAGACTGACAATGATGATTATGAGATGTATACCTAGGTTTTTTCTATTGTAACAGACACATGATAAAATGGGCTATAAACAGCACACGGAGATATTTTTTTTTTATTTAATAATTTAGTACACACACAATAAAACAGATAAGAACAGGAACAAGAAATTTGTACAAGGTCACTGCTTATTTCATATTGAAATTTCTCCCAGCAGTCCTGCGAAAGGAAAAATCATAATAAATGTCGTCAGTGTGTGCCTCCTGAATATAAATAACAAAATACAATATGTAGATAGTGTGATTATAGTCAAACTTCATGGCCGAGTGGTTTGTACGCCGGGTTTCATGGTGTCGCCGACTCGAGAGGTCCCGGGTTCGAATCCCGGTGGGGGCAGGTGTTTGTGTGATGAATACGAGCATTTGTACTCCAGTCATGGATGTTTCATATGTATTTCTATATAAATATACTTATATATGTAGAGTATATGTATTCTATCCGTTACCCTAGTATCTATAACACAAGCCTTACAGTGCTTACTTTGGGGCTAGGCTAATTGGTGTGAGTGTTGGAAATATTTAATAATATTTAATATAGACGGGACGGTTTTACGTCGACAAAACCATGTTTTATCAACATCATTATACAACCGACTTTATTTCAGTGAATGCCAAAATATGAACTATAAAAGGCATAAAATTTTGATAAATTGTTTAATCTATCAGTCATTATTTGAGAGAAACTAATAATGACATATGCGGCATGAAAAAGAAATAGATAAGACAATGATTTCTATTATATACATACTATTGATAAGAATTATATGGGTAATCTTATTCTTGATAATTTTGCGTTTGCAATAGATTCTTTTAATATTTTACGGTTCGTCCTGAAAGTACTGATATCAGACCAGTTATTTTTAATCTACACACGACTTATCCATTTGGCGTTAATATTATGATTTAGAGATATATAAATACTTAAAAAGTTTTTTTTTGTATGTGTGTTCTTGATAAAAATAACCTTAATAAATCTATAATAGCAGTATTTGTTACAGATAATGTTCTTGTTCTCCTTTCATTTTAATTAATGTTAAACGATATGATATAAATGATGTGTATATCTATAATAAGCAAACATATGTAAACAGTAAGATCATCCTTTATATATTACGAATGTCTTGTATGTTATGCTGTTGATGTACATATAAATAAATAAATAAAAAGTTTACTTTCCCAGTAAATGATATACTACGTACTTACTGTACTTTAAAAATCTAAAAAGGAAGTAAAATTTTCTTTACATTTAAACGTCTAGCAAATAAATGATTAAAAAAAATACACTAACCTACCTACCGGTATTTTTAAGGAAGCATCTACTGCCGATGCCTGGTGTAGGTCATAAATGGCTATGGATCGGTCAAATGCACGTTACAGTCCATGGTCAAGCCTGTATTCTTTCAGTATCTGATCTTGGATCGAGGCCGCGGCGCGCCGCCCCGCCTCGCCCGCCGGAAGCCGCGCGTGCCACTCACGCGACCAAGCGGCTACCCCTAACCCCCCAACCCTTAGCTCCTAGTGACGAAACATGCAAATTCCCCCGACCTCCTAAGGCCACGATATGGATCGTTTGGAAATGCGTTTGAAATGTGTTTTTCCGCCTCCCAATTTTCTTACAAACAAGGTCGAGGGTGGAAGGGTCCTTTGACGTCGGCTTGTATGTCCAATTTGGGTCTTTGAACAGACGCGTGGGTTAATGGACATTTGGAAATGTTGTGTGCGATTTTCCCGATATTCTCTGTAGTGTAGTACATCGATATGGTTACTAACTCTTTTCGAATAGATGTGATAAAAAAATAATTTCAATATTTCACATCTACCAGGAGTCCAGCGACGACCTGTTGCTTAACAAGGTACCCTTAAAATTTTGCGTACTTACCACCCCTACACGTAAAGTGGGGATGCTAACAATTCTTTCTCGTTTAATCTTCATCATTTTGTGTCATAAAGTAACACGGCCGACGCGGCCAGCAGGGCAGTAGGCATACACAGGAAAGTTGTGCTTTCCTCACTGTCGAATCCAGCATACAATCTGGGCATACAAACGATACATGTGTGCAGGATTTGGCGGCGTAATATGTCATTTTTTGTGTGTGAGTGTCGTCATACAACTTTGTTTTTACACACGTACGTTAAACTGCATTAGTGTGCAGTTCACAGAAGTACACAGAAAGAGGTTAGAAAGGTGAAAATAGACCGTTTGTACGGGAATCGATGTCACCGGCTCAGCCCCACTTCACTTCCATCTAAAAGATAATAGCCAATCAAACGACACGACATGAAACAATCGAACCAATCAGCGCTCACACCCGCGAGCAATGAACCAAGTTTTGGCCAAGTTATGAACATTTGCTCACATATAACTGTGGCATACCTGCCCCGCCCATAAGGTCCTTCTAACTTCTTTCTGTGAGAGTGGCGGAATGCTTTGAATAGTTATGTCGCTATGGCTTCTCCCTTCCGTGTTGTTCTGTGTATCGTGTGTAGAAGAAATATGACTCGCTCTTATCGCGTTGGCTACCCTGACCAAATCCCCTGCCCCGTGGAGCCCTGGAATCTTACTTACCGACAGCAACACAACACCACAAAGGTACTGTTATTTTACTGTAATCTTCTGTAAGGTGGTGGTTATTTTCTCAGACGGGCGCTCCAATTTGGGGCGAGCGGAGAATCCGTTATATCCTACCTCGCTTAATTTATTAGCTTTAAGCTTTAAACTGCATTGGTTTATTAGATTCCAGTGCTTGAGGACGCTGGCTAAGATTTGGAAAGTTTTAAAAACTGTGTATGTAATAGAAAGTTACCTCTAATTACTTCCGAAAAATTACATACTAAATAGAGATTCTATGTTACCTATCAAATATTAGCTGTGACTTTACTATGGCAATTAGCCAAAAATAATATGTGAAGAATATTTAACCTAGATCTCTTTGAAATAAAAATAATAATTGTAATAACACGGTTTTTAAGGAGTCGCTATATAATAATAAATAGTTTTTCAAATACTTGTCATATAGCCTTTTTTGAAATATAAGATTACGTGGGTATGTAATTGCGAATATTAGCGATGCAAAGCTTATTTCTCGTGACGTTGATTAAGCACCATGAAGTTGTTTGGCCGAGGAAACATTGAAACGTAAAATCGTTTTAACAGAAAAACCTTAAAGTTTTAAACACTGCAGTGCATGTCTTACATTTTGTACTTCGGAAACGGCCATTTTTAATCTCTTAAATAAAGATGAGGAAACATAAAATAAATACGATCATAATTATCGCTATTATGACCAATAAAATGTCTGAATACCATACGTTTTCAACAGTTAAAAACCGTTGAAGCGCGCCGTAAAAAAGTTCACACTAGCAATGTTAAAATTAGTCCTGCCGAAATGTAGCACAAAGATAAGCAAACGAATTACCGTGATTAAAAATCAAATTTCTTCGCTTTGAATGAAGGGAAAAAAAATGCTTGAAAATATGCAAATCATTACGTGTAATCTTCATAATGGGTCCTTTCCAAAAAATGGGGCAATGCATGAGCACGATACATTCTGAGACATCGCTTGGAAGTTTGTTTGTAAATCCGGCGAAAAGCGGCGCGCCGCGTTTATTTACTTCGATCATGCAAGGCGGCTGAGGCCACGCCGTGCCGCAGTCATGGCCCGGCCGTCCACCGACTAACACCACCATGTAAGTGAAGTGCAGTGCCCAGGATTGATGAGGTAACGAGTGAGGATGTCTCAGGCCCCCGGCGGCAAGAAGCCGGGCAAGGGCCCTCCGAAGAAGGCCCCCGTCATTGATGAAGACAAAAGTGCTCCGGCCAAAGCCGATGAGAAGGATGAGACTGCTAATAATGGACCTAAAGATGGAGAGAAGAAAGAGACGAAGGAGGGCAACGGGGATGTCCCGAAGCCGCCAAGTGCTGGGGCCAACTTACGAGAGGTGGCTTCGAAGGTGCTCATGCTGGCGCAGAAAGGGGAATGGCCGGCGGTGGAGCAGACCCTCAAGGCATTGGAGAAGCTGGTGGCGGCTGGTGGAGAAGATGCCGTCACCGTGCCCATGGCAGGCATCATGGATCCGGTGAGTTCTAGAAACATTTATCAGCAGTCCGAAATCTTTGAACACAAAAAAGCTCTTGTATATGAACGTAAAGAATATGTTAATGACTATATCCTTATGTATGTACGTACCATCAACAGTAAGATTTTCCTAGTGAAAACGGAAAAAAGGCAATTGACGTAATTAACGAAGCATTTGTGCCAGAAACACAGTCGTTTACTCAATAAAAGTACCTGCCTACTTACCTATGAAAGATTATAATATTTTCTACCCCTGAAATAGAACTGCGGTCTACGTGTAGCTTACGTGTAACCTACTTGTTAGTCACTCATAAATTAAACGTAACAGATCCTGTTAAATGCTTATACGAAAATCAAGATCGTTACAGTTTCATTTTCGGTTTTATAGCCGAATATGGCGCCGTAACTCATTTTCAGAGTTAATATAAATATTAATTAAAGAAAATACTAAAAGGACGAATTAAGGAATATTTTACTCTTCGTACGAAAATGCGGTAAATGATTATCATGTTCTTCAAAGGGAAATTAAAATGTCTCGAAAATATATAGGTTACATTTCGTTTTCACTGTTTCCAATCATTTTCATAGTCTATAAGTACTACACTATGTCAGACTATGTCATAGTTCTCCTCCTAAAGAGATCCTAAGGGGTAGCTTCAGGGGTAGAGTCAGATCTTACACAGTGAAAGAAAAGGCTTTTCGTATTATCCTTCATTCATATCTTCAATCAATTTTAATTAATAACTTTATATTAAAATAACAATTCACAAATGCAGCTCGTCAGCTAGGTCGCAGTCATAAGATTGTCATCTTTTTTATATTCATCGTCAGATGCGTCTTTTATTCTACTAGTTTCCAGCCATTAGTTCGAAAAAGAAGGATAGTAAATTACACACACGGGAGTTACTGTACCTACTAGACTAATGACACTTAAATATCTATCAAATCCATCTACGTACGAGGAACGTGGCGATGGCATTATTTCTTGATTTGATACATGTATGAGATTTGTCTTAACTAACCATATTATGCAAATTCCGAAAAACAACAAAAATGCTTAAACCGTTAGAAAGCGCTAAAAACCCGTTTAAAGTATTTAACTAAGCAAGCATCGCTTGCTCCTGAAAGCCTGAAAGGTTGATCCGCATTACCTTCCAAAGATGCAATACTATGAATGACGCAGAAAATAATAATAAAAAGACACACACACATAATTTAATATCTAGAAAGTTCATTATTTTTTTATTGTATAAGCATTTAACTGTTAGACGTTTAATTTTGAAGAAAATTTTATCGAAAAAAAACCATGAGGCCCAGGCAGCAGTCGGGAAGCGAACCCACACTCTTCACTATCCGGGTGGATGCGCTGACCAATTATGCTACCGTGACCTTAATACCGGATAGCGGAGGGTCCGGAATCGTTTCGCGTCCCGTCTACTGCTTAGACCGCGTAAAATTTCTTCTAGTAAAATTTTCTTTAGAAATTAACGTTTGACAGTTGAATTCTTAAACAATAAAAATATAATGAAGTTTCTAGATCTAAAGAAAATATAACTAGAAAAAATTCCACGCGGACCAGGCAGCAGACGGAACTCGAACCCACACCCTTCGCAATCCGGGCGAATGCACGCGGTAGCATAATTGGTCAGTGCATTCGCATTCGCCCAGACGAAGAAGAGAAGTTATACTTTCTTTAGATTTAAACATCAAGCAGTTACATGCTTTAAAAAAAAACTTTGTAGATATTAAGTTATGTGTGTGTTTTAATTATTATTTTCTGCGTCTTTCATAGTATTGCATATTTGGAAGGTAATGCGGAATAACCTTTCAGGCACAGCTTTCAGGCTTTCAGGATCAGGCGATGCTTGATTATTAAAACACTTTAAATAAATATTATAAACATTTAACAGGCTTGGATTTTTGATGGTTTACGTATAATTTTAATTCTAAATTGTTGCTTAAAAACTGGACATGTGCGAGTCAGCCTCGCTCACCGAAGGTTCCGTACAAATTTGTAGATACACAAACGGCAGTATCTTTTTTTACGTAAACTTTAAAAAATTTCGCAGCTTTAAGGGACTGTAGTCCTGAGTATATGGTTTAAAATTTTCAACTCGGTATCCCATGCGTTCTTGAGATTGGACTTGACAGACGAACGGATAAACAGTCGTATCTTTTTTAGTATATTTACAAGTTTGATTTGATTTTCACAGCTCCAAGGGACTGTAAACCTGAGTAAGTATGGTTTAAATTACACGCCCGGGGGCCGCGTTCTTGAAATAAAAGGTCTTGACATACAGTTAAACAACCGTATTCTTATTTAAGTTTTAGAAGTTTGATTTTTTCGCATCTTCAAGGGACCATAAACATGAGTATAGAAAAAGAAAGAAAAGAAAAATAAAATAATAATATATATATATTTCCATATGTAAAGAAAATATTACTAGAAAAAAAAACACGCGGACCAGGTAGCAGACGGGACTCGAACCCGCACCCTTCGCTATCCGGGCAAATGCACTGACCAATTATGCTACCGCGGCCCTGATGGAAGCGTCGAAATTCTTCTAGCCATTCCTAAGCTGCAAGGCAGTGCCATCTCGTCGCATTGTCGGTAACCCACAATGTCAAATTAATACTTTTACAAGTATTAAACATTTGAAACATTTTATCCGTGCGGTGACGGAGAAAGAATACAACTCACCGCCCCTTTTCTTCCCGTGGGTGTCGTAAGAAGCGACTAAGGGATATCAGAGCTTCCATCCGCTCTCCTGGTGGTAGGGTGCCTAACATCCGCCTGGTTTGTTACCACCGTGCGCATGGTGAAAAACCCGTGAAGTGCTTCTCGCGCGTTTCGGGGTCAGCCAGCGTACAACCAGAGCTCGAGTGGAAGTTGTCGCGAGGGATTCGGTCCAGGGGAGGCATCCGTGGAACCGATGCCGGGAGGACTGCATCGACCCGTCGGCCAGGGAGACCCGTAGAAACGGCTGTCCCGCTGGCCGCCCGTGGCACAGTACAGGGGCCCAAGCGTTCCTAACCAGTTCGCGAGGCTGCCCCATCATGTCACGCATAATCTCGGGGTGGACCGTCGTGCCGGTTGGTGACCGGGGCGTGGGGTCCCGGCGGCCACTCCCGGGGGGGTGCGGGGGCCCTTCCGTCCGGCGGGTCGGTGCATCTCCACTGCAGGCAGTCAATCGGGAAGACAAACCCCCCTTATTTGCCCGGACTCTTCGCGACGGCGTCCGCTCGTTTTCGCGTCTCTTTTTTTTTCACTTCCACCATGGCAGCCTCAATAACAAAGTTTGGACGTACAGCGGTGCACACCCCCACGCCTTCAACGCTGTTTGAGGTCGAGTTCTGCAACATACGCGGACTCCACTCTAACCTCAACGCTGTCCACCACCATCTCGAGACAGCACGGCCAGCATTGTTGTTCCTGACGGAGACACAAATACTTCCGCCTGCTGACACAGGCTACCTTAATTATCCCGGCTACGTGCTTGAAGAGTCCTTCAAAGCGAAAGCCGGTGTATGCCTGTATGTTCGGGCGGATGTTTGTTGTCGCCGTCTCCGCTGCTTGGAAGATCCCTCCTTCTCCATGCTGGGGGTACACGTCGACTCTGGCCCCCGGGCCAGAGTCTACGTGTGCCTCTACAGATCCCACACCGGCGATGTTGAGACAACTCGACTTTTTGAACACCTTAGTCGGGCAGCAGATGACGCGCAGGAGCGATTTCCCAATGCAGAATTGGTGTTTTTGGGGGACTTTAATGCTCACCACAATTTGTGGTTAAGTTCTTCCAAAACTGACCATGCAGGGATCTCTGCTCACACATTCGCTCTCACGCATGACTTGAAGCAACTGGTTGATCAGCCCACCAGGATCCCAGATATTCCAAGTCAAGCGCCTTCTTTACTGGACCTTCTGCTCACGACCCATCCACAGGGCTATCAGGTTGTGGTAAGAGCCCCCCTGGGCTCGTCCGACCACTGCCTGATATCTGCCAAAGCACCACAGGCCAAGCCTCCGCGTCCAGCAGTGGTCAAGCGCCGTATCTGGCATTATGGGTCGGCAGATTGGGACGGTATGCGTGATTACTTTGCGTCCGTCCCTTGGAAGCAGCGCTGCTTCAGTGACAGGGACCTATCGGGCAGTGCCGTTGCCATTACTGAGGAGATCATAATGGGTATGGAATACTATATTCCTCATTCTGATCTCATCAGTAAGGGCACACGTAACCTCTGGTTCAATCACGACTGTGCTGAAGCTGCTTCGCGTAAGCAAGCGGCATATCGTGCTTGGATCAGAGGCCGCGCTCTCAAGGATCCCGGGGTCGATTCACTCAAAGCAGCCTACAATTCTGCTTCCAAGGCCTGTAAGAAGGCTTACATCAGAGCGGATGCCCAGCGTGTTGCACGTGTTGGCCAGGAACTTATAACGCATCCTGCGGGCTCCCGTAGCTACTGGCGTTTGGCCAAGGCCGTGCAAAAAAACTTCTGCCAGCCCTCGCTGCCACCTCTGAGATGCCCAGACGGAACACTAGCTCATAAGCCGCAGGAGAAAGCCGATTTACTGGCAAAACTCTTTGCGGCTAACTCCCGAATCGATGATTGCAATGCACTGCCACCATCATTACCTCACTGTGGCACAACGATGCCTGATATTAAAATCAGGCAGCGTGAGGTTCGTGCCGAGTTGCAATCACTCGACGTCCGGAAAGCTAGTGGACCTGATGGCATCCCAGCAGTAGTACTTAAAAAATGTGCAGCGGAGTTGTCTCCCGTGCTCACGCGCTTGTACCAATGCTCGTATTCTTTGGGGCGTGTGCCGGAGACTTGGAGAGATGCTAACGTGCAACCGGTGCCCAAAAAAGGGGATCGCTCAGACCCGGCAAACTATCGGCCAATAGCAGTCACCTCAGTTTTATGTAAAGTTCTAGAAAAGGTCCTTAATAACCATCTGACCCGCTACCTAGAGGATCACTCCCTGATTAATGATCGTCA